GTGCCATGGGAGGCAGACACCGAGTTCTGGGGTCTCCAGTTTCAGTGGGTGGCTGCTGATTGCTTCTCTCTGTCCAGAACAACAAGAACAAGAGCGCACTGCAGTTGGAGCAGCAAGTGGAGGAGCTACAGGAGACGCTGGACGAGGTGAAGGAGACGGTAACCTCTGCCCCATCCAAGAAGGGCTGGGAGGCGGGCACCAGCCTCTGGGGAGGGGTGTGCCAGGCCAGAGGCAGCTGCAGCCTGGGGCCAGGTTACCCCAGCACCCTCCAGGGCAGTCTTGTGACTATTTCTTCCTTCCTGCCTTCTGACTTTTAGAGGTGGGTAGCCCTGGGCTCCTCCCAGGTCTGGACATCATCATCCCAGCTAGAGGCATGGAGCCCCCAGTCACAGGGGAAGAGACAGTGGTATAAGAGGCTCCTTATTCCAGGCGCAGTGGCTCAGGCCTATAATCTCAGCACTTTGGGAGGCTGAGGCAGGAGAATCACTTGAGGTTGGGAGTTTGAGATCAGCCTGGCCAACATGGTAACATCTCTACTAAAATTACAAAAACAAACAAACAAAACGGGCATGGTGGTGCATGCCTGTAATCCCACCTACTCAGGAGGCTGAGGCATGAGAATCTCTTGAGCCCAGGAGGTGGAGGTTGCAGTGAGCTGAGATTGCACCACTGCACTCTAGTCTAGGCCACAGAGTGACACTCTGTCTCAAAACAAAACAAAAAGACTCCTTATGTTACAACTGGATTCCAGCCTTGGTTCCACTGGTCACCATTCAAGTACTTTGCATCTCTAAGTTTCTGTTTCTTTAACTTTAAAAGGAAGTTAGCATTTTCCTTACAGAGGTGCTGTGGATTAAATGAGATAATACACGGAAAGCACTAGGCCTGTAGCACACTTAGCAGATGGCAGCTGGCTCCCACTGCTTTTCCACCAGTCTGTGGACTACAGTTTAAATGGTGAAGGAGGGTATGAGATTTGAGCCTGGGGAAGGAGGCATAGGGTTCTAGGAAAGGGAGGCAGTCACTTAGGCCTGGAGTAAGGGGCGACGGTCCTGGGCAGGTGACAGAGCCCCACAGTGCCCTGGAGACCCTATTAATGGGCCCAGAATCTGGAAGCCAGCCGCCACCTGCCGTCACACCCACGGTCTTCCTGCAGGTGGAGCTGAAGAGCCAAGAGGCTCAGAGTCTGCAGCAGCAGCCAGACCATTACCTGGGTCACCTGCAGCAGTCCGTGGCCATCTATCAGCAGCAGGTGGCCGCTTGTCAGCAGCTGACCTCTGAGAAGGAGGCGCTGCACAGGCAGTTACTGCAGCAGACCCAGCTAATGAACCAGCTGCAGCAGCAGGAAGCTTGGGGCAAAGCGGTGGCCGAGATGGCCCGCCAAAAGTTGCAGGAGACCCAGGGGAGGGAGCTGCTGAGGATGGGGCTGTGAGGGGGACGACCTGGCAAACTCCGTGCCTTCTCACTCTTTCCTGGCCCCTTAGGAGTGCCTGGAAGCTTCCAGCCAGCAGAGCCAGCAGCTGAATGCCCCGTTGAACCTCACGGCTCTCCCTGGGGAAGGTACGGGAGACGCTCAGAGGAAGAGGAGAGAGCCCCAGGAGGAAGGGGGGACTGTTAGCAGTGTAGGATTGAGGAGTTGGAAGAGACCTTTAGAACAGCTGGTCATTATGCTGACCGGGTGTCTGCACTAAGTTCGGCACCAATATGGTAACCTCCTGGGAGCGGGGGGCCACCAAGTTGCCTAAGGATGGCTGAACTGGCCCAGGTCAGAAACGGAACAGGTTAGAGCTCCCAAACCGACCGGTAGTGGGACTGTGCCTGGGCGGTATAGCAAGATCTTGGTTCTTAAAAGTAAAAATAAAGAACAGCAGCTCATTCCTCTCTGGGGAGGGGCTGGCTCAGGGTTACATAGTGAGGGTGGAGGCAGAGATGGGCCCACAGTACCTCCATTGTTGGGTTGTCTGAGGAGCCCTCTGGCCACCCCCCACAGGAGATGGAGGAGAACATCTGGGCAGTGAGGAGGAGGAGGCACCTCAGCCCATGCCGAGCGTCCCACAGGACCTGGAGAGCTGGGAGGCCATGGTGAGTCTGACTCCCCCTGCACCCATTTTGCCACCTTCCTCTGTGGTCCCTGCAAGACCCCTTTATGCTCTTACTTTCCCTGCCTTCTGATTTCTCTG